TACACCGTGTGAGGAGTAAACTATTTAATCTAGGTGTTAATAAAAACATTATCAGATGGGTTAAAGAATTCAGGGTACATAGAACTCAGTATGTCAGTGTCAATGGCTATCAATCTTCTTTGCTCTCAACCTCTACTGGAGATTCACATGGCTGTGTTCCTTCATCCGTACTCTTCGTTTTGTATACCAATGACTGTTACTTGTCAATATATGACTTGTTCACTGTGAAATTTGCAGATGACGCCACTGTTACTGGCCTAATTTCTGATTCTGAACATTATTATCGTCAAGGCATTGACAAAACCGTAATGACAGTTTTTTATCAAACCTTTATTCAAAGTGTGTTGACCTACAATTTCCTATGTTGTTATGGGGATCTGTCTCATCGCAACAAAAACAAACTTTTCAAAATTGTTAATACTGCTTGCAAAATTTCTGGGTTGTCTTTCGAGTATACTCCCTTTATCTATGAGCGCCACATTGTCAAAAAGGCAGCTAAAATTAGATTTGATAGTTGATATATTTGATCTCACCATTTTGAACTAATTCCTTCTGGACGCTGCTGTCGATTACCTTCCCTCAAAACAAACAGAGCTCGACAGTCTTTCATACCATCAAGTATTCGTGAATGCAACAAATATTTTGAATCACCATCATGTGATTAGAACTAGAATTATTCAGCCTCTTTACCATGTGGTTATTTGAATTATATCATGTCAGTTTTATTTGTAAATAACATTCGTTTTGAGCATGTAATTATTGTGTATATTTTTGTGAACTGTGTATATATTCATTTTGAGACAGTTTGGATGTATAAGAATTTCCTCCGGGATAATAAAGTTATATCTTATCTTAATATTAGACGTTAACGGCCGCTCATGCTTAGCACATGGCAGACAGTCTGTCAACGTCAAATAATCCGAGTTATCTCCCCTTTTCGAGTCCTCGAGTCCTTGAAGATGGACTCGAGTCCAGCTAGACCCGACTCGTCCTCGAGTACTCGAGTACCCGTGGAAGCCCTAGTTATAAGGAGGAGAGTGGTGACTGCTATACAGTCACATAGAGGTACACTCCGCATTGACCTTGAATCATGTTCACATTCACCAATAAATTCAACATCATACATTCCAGGGTCATACTTGTGCAGACATGGTTTTGTATGAAATTCAGTGGGTTTATTTAAAATGAGCAATTATCATAAAAGCAACATGGATTCCAATCATTTTTTTATTTTTTTTATGAGCCAATTGATCATACGTGTCAGAAAACTCCTCAGAAAAACTCAGAAAGTTTATGTAAGTGTGGAAAACCTATCAGTGCAGAAATACAGGGGTGCTTAAGTTCTTCGTGTATATATGATACCAGGTTTTCGCGATCAGTGAATGAGACATACGTGTTACATATATATTTGCCCACTTATTTCAAATTCGAGATATAAAAACAGATCCTGTGTCACCTGTGCCCAAGATTATCCTTTGCAAACACAATGTCCTCGGGCTGATCAGGGCATGGTTCCCAGCCAAGTAGCTGAGGCACCTAGCCACACAGAGCTTCCTGAGGCATAGCACACACCATGAAATATCGATATGAGAGGCCTTCAGTTTGAATAAATATACACAATGCTTAAACCGTGTTTTACAAAGCTATTTTGAACAATTGACTTGCCTTTGCATGTATTTATGAAGAGTTCCACAGGGGGGACAGGATCCGTTCACCTTTTCGCGAACACGTTGTGTCCGCCACATGTGACAGTGATTCGTGAACACAACCTAGACTTGGTCTACATATGCTTGTCCTAAGAGGCGACTAACGGGATCCGGTGATCGAGCTCGCTAACTTGGTTGACGCATGTCATTGAATCTCATCTGTGCAGATCGATGTTCATGCTGCTGATCACTAGACTGGAAAATTGCCGAGTGCGGTGTCAAACAACAAACAAACATAACACATCCTTATGTCATAATCGGTATCGTACAATGGTCGTTGAGGTTACTAGAGAATATATACGGCTATGAATATGTTTTTGTCCCTTTTAGTTACATAGACTATATATATGTAGTTGAAAAACAGTTGTTTCTAAGGTTTGTTCCTTTGTAAAGTATGTTTGTTCGGTTCAAATGGAATAAACCCGGAAATAGCTACATTTACCATTCTGTTCATTCTGCCCTATCGTTTTGCACAGGATAATTGTGATATACAAGTTTTCCAGGTCATAATCTTAATTATCTTAATGTATTATTGGCTTTATAAACATGTTTCCTAACACGTGCACTCCAGATTACTCTCCAGGAATATTACTAACCCAGTAAGTCATTTTCTATAGGCATTAGAACCATTATCAATAAATGAAAGAAATTTGTATGATGTAGAGTGTGGAAAGAAACAAAATAAACGATTCATTAATTATGCTTCTCTCTTCAAAATGACCGGTTAATTGAACGATACAACTCTCTTGACAATATAGAGTAGATTTGTTTCTATTCCAAGCTGACTTCTAAGGGTAAATACGATGCTCAACGTGTCTGAAGGAAATAACGACAACATTGTTTATTAATCCCACTTGTTTACTCGACCTGCATTTTAAGGGCACCTGCGTGTCCTTCAGCTCCAATGTCCATCAGACTCCATTTATTAATTACTTTACTTAATTAATTATCAAAACCGTGTTGCATTAAACGAAGTCGTTTAAGTTAACAGCCGTCTTTTAAGTGCTATTTTATTGTAACACGTCCACAACTAAAATTAGTTAAAACCTTTCTCAAAATCTTGCTTAATGAACCTTTGTGAAAAGTGTATTTTTAGGAGGATTTTGAAACAAGGAAATTAATCAGTATATTAGATGTATGAATAACGTTGTGCAAGAAAAAACAGTGATGTAAAGCCGAAACATTTTCAGTGTCATGAAATATTTGGTGATTGTTTATTATCTCTGGCTCTCAATTTAGCATATAAATGTATTTAGAAAGTCCAGTGGATTGTGATAAATGCGGGAATATAGCTAAGTATCAAAACACCCACCCACTCACTCACTCACTCACTGTCGTACTCTTTCGAGGTTACTGTCACCGAGATATGTCCTTTCCACGGGGTTAAGTGAGTGAGTGAATATAGTGTAACGCCGCATCAGCAACCATGATACTACAGTGGACTCATCACCCCGATGACAGGTGAGAGACAGATGCTGATGATATCTCGTGTTTCCAACTCTTTTCACCTTTTGGTCGGATAACCGTGATCTTGATAATGTCACACAAAAATCATACGTAAATGTTTCCTTCATTTACAAAAACAAAATAGGATACTTCTAAGAGATTTACGCTTTATTATATAAAATAGCACGTAAAACCCTTCAAATTCGGGTTACATTCCAAATTAGTTATCAGTCGAGTTATCTCCCCTTACCATGCACATACAGACTACAGACAGTATAAACCGTCGCGACAATGAGCGTGTTTGCACCAGACCACTTCGACAATTAACTTCAAATGAAGACAATTTAAACAATTTAGACATATCTAGACTTTGTCTGTTGTGCCGTTAATGTCGATTGCGTTGAGGCGAGGTCAAATGGATGGCGTTTAATGACAATGACAATACTTTATTACCCACAGGAAGGAATTCTTTTTTACATTTGAAAGTGCACAATAGAATTAAATAAGATACATGGCACATACATGTACATAGAATATACAGTTCGCAGAGGTATAACAAAATCTAACAATCATTTAGGAGCCTAATACTAGATGGCACAAAAGAGTTCTTAAATCTATTAGTTTTAAAACGTGGCACTGTGTATCGCCGGCCGGATGGTAAGAGGGCATATTCAGGAAATAAAACGTGGGTATCGTCAGATAAAATCCTTCTTGAGAGGCGTATTGCACGGCTTGTAAAAAGAGAGGGTAAATCAACACCTGAGATTTTGCTAATGAAACAATTCTATGAAGGTAAGATTTACATTTAACGTTAAGAGTTCCGTACCAACATTGTATAGAAAAAGTTAAAACACTTTCAACAAAACAACGGTAAAATAGAATCAAAACATCCTTGCTAACATTAAAAGAGCTTAACTTACGCATAAAATATAGTCTCTGTTGGCATTTCTTAAATATGAAGTCAGTATTAGGAGTCCATTGTAGTTTGTCATCTATGATTGTGCCAAGATATTTGTATTCAGGTAGCGTAACCTGGATATGCCCCTCAGTCATAAGGGGAGATAAGTAACAATAAGCACCACCTTTTAACGGTGAAATTTGGAACTTTACTGTGGTGCACGTATGTCGTGAACTATGCTCGGGCTCGGTGACTTGGTAGATTTTGTCATCACAATTTTAAAACGTGTGGGACATTTCTCATTAAATCAGCCTCTAGTTTGTCATATAGTAGTGTTTAAAACTCCCAAAATCCCAAGCCAGACAGCCGGACTGGTAACTTTAAAAAATTACCAGTCCGGATACAAACCTGCCTGTCCGGTTTTCAACAATGAAAAACAAACAACAAATCAGGTTTCTGAATACTTTACTGTGTGTAGGCATCGCAATGAACTACTCATCTCTTTCCGTGACCTACAAGAAGACGCCATCTGGCTTGCCGGAATGACACGAGTAGTTACGAATGCACCTCAAACTGACGACAAGAGAACCTGTCTGATGTTATGATATATTTACTTTTAGGGGCGAAAACATCTACCAGACCACCGGACAGGATACTTTTGAAATTTGACCGTCCGAGATGAAAGTAGACCGTTCCGGACGGTCGGGCAGGCGAGAATTTTAAACGCTGCATATAGCATTAGGGACTGCAGAATTTAAAAAAACAACACTCACTTGAGATGAGAAGGTAACTACGTACAGAATTATTATACATATGTTTCCACATAGCTGCCTCACATTGGTGGGAAGAGTAAACACAGACCAAGTCACTTCTAGTAAATTTCCTCTTTAAACTACTGAGGACTGTTAAAACGAACAGTAAATCAAAGATCGGTTTTGTTTCGTCTGTTGTTTAACGGTGCACTCAGCAATATTCCTGCTATATGACGCCACTGTGTAAATTAATTGAGTCCGTACCAGACAATCCAGTGATCAAGAGCACTAGCATCGATCTATGCAATTGGGATACGATGACATGTGTCCACCAAATCAGCGAGCCTGACCACCTGATCCCGTTAGTCGCCTCTTACGACGAGCATGGGTTATTGAAGATCAATTCTCACCGGGATTTTCACGGGTGTAAATTAAAGAGCTCGGGTTAAATCTACCACACATATCGCTGGGCAGTATATCAAAGTGGAAATATAATTTTAACATATATACGTCATATACCAAAATGTTTCATGTTCATTCAGACAACCTACTTAAGCAGGGGCTAAATCTCATACAATGCATTAGACATTCCCACTGGCAATGTCTTTGACGAGGTGCTGTAATAAACAAACAAACTAATATATAAATTAAATAAATAATATCAACCATGTTGTAAACGTTTTAATCCCATGTAAATCCACACATCACCAAATGAATTCTTTTCAGTATTAGGTGCTGCAATAATTTGCTCTCAGCACCACTTCACACAAGTTGAGTTTATCATCACCGGAGATGCTATCACAGTTGGATGTCCTCCATTTGAGAGCGGAAGTGCTATACCTAGAACAGGTGCGTGTTCCGATGTCATCTTTCCAGTTGGTGTAGCCGTTTACCTCGGAACGATGTTCCTCGTGCCAGTACCAATTGCTGCCATCCCAAACATTCCGATCCAGAACCCACCGAGAACTACAAGCAAAAATGTATGTGTTATGTCTTTCCGGGAGGAATATCGATAACATTCATATGCTGTTCAAGGGCTCAGTAAATATTACGTTTATGTCCCGATGACGAAAAGTGAGAACGAAGTAAAACTGTAAGTCAAGTACAAACGAAATCAATTTAAACAAGTAACTTCAAGTAGCCTCTCAGCCACAAAATGAAACTGTGTACATAGTAAATAGAAACGTTATCGGAACTATGCATATGTCTGGGTGTAAATCACGGTTTAGTGAATTGAACTGAACATGCATTGTATGTGCATGCACTACGTTTCGTGACGTTAGTGAACACGTGCAACACGTTTGTCGATCTGTGTAGCTCAATTGTACTCTTCCCAAAAGTAGGGAACTTCATTTTAATTTACGATTGAAAACAATGGGAGATATATCAGAGTCAATCAATGTTGATATGATAATAATGAATGTTTTGAGAGTGCATCACCACTTGCACTTCCTTATGACCATAGTTGTGTGTACTGTAATCGCTCTTGAAAGATGATTGGTGTATGACGTGATACTTGCACGTGTACGATTTTCATTTTCAAACAAATAGTCCAGGAGGAGGCAGCTGAAAAATTTGAAATCGTAGCCTCCCCAGTACTGATTTTGTTTGACACTATTTTCAGTTAGTATGTCGTCTTGGGCTCATGAAATGGCCTGTAATACTCTCAGATCGTGGTATCAGTTTTTTTAACAGGCCATTATATGTGGTGGGGGTCTCCGAGCATTTTCGTCACATTTGGTTTGCTGCCCGACAACACCTCAAAGTTAATCATGGATAGTTTTATTACTATCAATCTGATCACCTTTACTTTGACTTCTGTGTATTGCTAAAGGATGTAGAAATTATTTGACATATTTTTGTTTTTGAAAAAAGTTAAAAATGGCCGCCATTTTGTTTTGTCCTGTTTTGCCTTCTCAGCGCTTAAATTTACATAAAAACGAACATCGAATGCTTTCATTTACATCCAAAGATGATACTTTTGATGTTTTTTGACACTTGTCTCTCCTAGAGTGATGGCTTGGGCACAAAACGAATGGTTTTGTATGGTCATATCGTGGTACTGTAATGTCCTACACTTTATTCTTTGAGACAGTGGTATTTTAGCGTTTTTCCGACTTTTCATGAAAATGTGTGGTGGTGATTTATTCATTGAAAGTTAACATTAATTTTGTAACTAAACCAAGTTCTTTTTGTTTCCTCTTTACTTCTAGAGTGACAACATGTTATTAGGAATTTTTATATGTTACCAAAATTTCCAAATGGCCGCCATTGTAGTTTTACTACTTATACATAGTGGAGGACTAAATTTGTACAGATATAAAAACCAAACAAGTCATTTGGTGTTAAATGTTTAATACAGTATTGGAATAGAACTAAACTTTAATGATATGGTCAATGAGAGCTTCACATTACTAACATATTTGATGAAATAACATAATCCAAAAGTGTTTGAAAAATATGCTTCATGACCGATAACTGCGTCTAAGCTCTGGTTGTAGCTATTCGTATTGTTCTATCAGATAACTCTTAATCACTTCTAATACATTCAGAAGCTTACAGTTAACCCTCCTTTTAACTTTCATTTCATATCATATGTTTCTCCATGTCAGAATCGGAGTCATCTACTGGGAACAAGTCAAAGGTGTTCGGGCAACAATCACCTGCCATACAAAGACATGCAGGCCTCTGTGCGCACCAGATCATTCTGTCTGCATTGACAGAGATCTCTCTGCTGGCATGCTGACTTTTGCATTTACACGGTGTCAGTTCAACCAATCCATGGGGAGCAGGATCTCTCAACATCAGAATAACGATAAGCTGACCATCACAAATTCTCCAACCATGGTCAAATGGTGAAGTAATTACTGTGTTGAGGCTACTGTGTATGAGGCTATCATTCTGATGAGATCTTCATTCTCAACAGGAGGATGTGTTGACCGCCTCTCTGTGAAGTAACAAACTCAGCTCTCTCAAGATTTGCCATTTTGACGCTGAGTGTGAAACTTGCAGAGGTATATATACGACATTGCAGAATATGATGAGAAGAGCATCTTATGTTTATACAATCAAAACAAGAATGGTTGATCAAAGAAGAAGATGACCGTCTTATGTTTATACAATAAAAATATGTATGGTTGATCAAAGAAGATGATCATGTTATGTTTATACAATCAAAACATGTATGGTTGATCAAAGAAGAAGATGACCATCTTATGTTTATACAATCAAAACATGTATGGTTGATCAAAGAAGATGATCAAGTCATGTTTATACCATCAAAACATGTATGGTTGATCAAAGAAGATGATCCAGTCATGTTTATACCATCAAAACATGTATGGTTGATCAAAGAAGAAGATGACCATCTTATGTTTATACAATCAAAACATGTATGGTTGATCAAAGAAGAAGATGACCATCTTATGTTTATACAATCAAAACATGTATGGTTGATCAAAGAAGATGATGACCATCTTATGTTTATACAATCAAACATGTATGGTTGATCAAAGAAGAAGATGACCATCTTATGTTTATACAATCAAAACATGTATGGTTGATCAAAGAAGATGATGACCATCTTATGTTTATACAATCAAAACATGTATGGTTGATCAAAGAAGAAGATGACCATCTTATGTTTATACAATCAAAACATGTATGGTTGATCAAAGAAGATGATGACCATCTTATGTTTATACAATCAAAACATGTATGGTTGATCAAAGAAGAAGATGACCATCTTATGTTTATACAATCAAAACATGTATGGTTGATCAAAGAAGAAGATGACCATCTTATGTTTATACAATCAAAACATGAATGGTTGATCAAAGAAGAAGATGACCATCTTATGTTTATACAATCAAAACATGTATGGTTGATCAAAGAAGAAGATGACCATCTTATGTTTATACAATCAAAACATGTATGGTTGATCAAAGAAGAAGATGACCGTCTTATGTTTATACAATAAAAATATGTATGGTTGATCAAAGAAGATGATCAAGTCATGTTTATACAATCAAAACATGTATGGTTGATTAAAGAAGATGATCAAGTCATGTTTATACCATCAAAACATGTATGGTTGATCAAAGAAGATGATCAAGTCATGTTTATACCATCAAAACATGTATGGTTGATCAAAGAAGATGATCAAGTCATGTTTATACCATCAAAACATGTATGGTTGATTAAAGAAGATGATCAAGTCATGTTTATACCATCAAAACATGTATGGTTGATTAAAGAAGGAAAATAAGCAGATAAGCAATGTAAGTAGATGAGTACGTCATGTCACACAGACAATGTACAAGATCTATTTGTTTAATGTTAACAGCCAATTGGGTAATATCCATTATTATGATAGGGGTGGTAGAACTGGCCTAAGGCGAGGTGTAGGGCAATATGAGGCGGGCAAGCCTTGTACATTGTGCACGTGCATTCCATGCGTTGTGTTTAGGGGTGATGATAAAGAGAAATGGTGGTGCGTTCATAAGATGTCTATGAAAAGTTTCTTAAAAAGTGTTCCTAACGCTTATACTTCCTATCCATAGAGTATATTTGACTCTTGATCCTTCGAACAATATACGGCTAATGAACCGCACATCATGCATGACTCACGACTGAACAACGTCATGGGGCTATAGGATGGTCTGTAGGGGAATGTCTCAATCTCAGGTAGTTGCCACTGAACCACCATTTCACACCGTTGTGACGTTATCAGAACAATGATGAAGTTGCCTATGCCACAGCTAGTGCAATGACCACTGCTCAGATCCTTCCACGACGTCAGCGTATCCACACCAACACAGTCAGGAACCGCTTACGTCATTACGAGATGCGACCACGTCGTCCCGCCTTCCGTCTATCCTGACACAACGTCAACGAGAACACCGGCAAAGGTGGTGCCGAAATCATGTCTGTCTGTCTCGGATGTCGTGGAGGACTGTTGTTTTGCCGAATAGTCCAGATTTAACATTTCCCGTTGTGGCAGTGTCAAAGTGTCTACAGACGTGTTGGGAGCATGCATGATGGTGAGGAATGGCTTAGGGGATGGTTACGTGACGATTCTGAGTGCACATGAGAGAAACCATTTAGTTCCACTTTGATATACTGCCCAGCAATATGTGTGGTAGATTTAGCCCGAGCCCTTTGATTTACACCTGTGAAAATCTCGGGTAGAATTGGTCTTCAGCAACCCATACTCGTCGTAAGAGGCGACTAACGGGATCGAGTGGTCAGACTCGCTGATTTGGTGGACACGTCGGTGAAGAAAGATTCTAGAAAATTCTACCGCTACGCACAGTGTAATGAGTGTAGCGGTAGACTTTTCTTATATCTTTATTTCTTCATCGACTTCGTTCAAATGTTTCAGCCTTCTTCCTATGTTCTCTATCATGTTTACAATTTGTATGAAGCCATGGTTTGCATATGTGCGGGTTTGCAGAAGACTTAGGAATGGCTTCGTCAGCAGTAGCATTTAAGTGGATTGTCGAATGAAATGGAGCGACATCTACACCTTGTACCAAATCCGACAGACAACGTTCGTGATTTGGCATCAGAGTGGCAGAGAATATGGCAAGCCATTCAACAAGCCTTCCATGCCCATTTGTTAGACTATATGCGTCGGCTCCTCACAGTGGGCATCCTTGGGGGTTTGTGACATTGTTGACCTCTACCCCGTATTTGGACTTGTATGGTCAGTTCTGCCGTCGTATGATCTCAGTATCCACATGTTAACGTTTACGTTGAATCTTTTCAGGATTGTTATTTAGAAAGATTTGATGCGCAGTTTCTTTTTGAGCTCGTTCGGTCCAAAACCACGTAACTGGGTCTCAAAATCCCAAATCACTCACTACAAACAGGTTAGTGCATGTTAACAGATGAAGCCTGATTTAACACTAAGCAAGACATTATCACAGTGCCCAACGTACAACATGACCACGCAGAGGATCCCAAGTCTTTGTGAACTAGCAAGGTGAAAAGTTGATATACATACCGGATCGAAAGGTCAATGTATATGGGATCCTATCCTCTTCTGCGCTATAGATGTTAAAGAGTCTTCCTCCATATAACGCACAGAATGCAATGGCCGCAGCGTTAGTGACTGCCTCACTTCCAGCATAGAAACACTTGCCCGTTGGCTTGTGGTAGATCCAGTTCTCCGGACAATCAGCTGGTGAAGGCATTGTAGCATTAGACAACATCAGACCTCTCTTAAATACTTCATAACAAAGTACGTTTTGTTTTGTTTGTCTCCATGTCACAACGACCAGTATTCTAAACAATTAAGCTGACCTGTAACTAATCTAGTTTGGGCCAAATACCTAGTAGTGAGTGAAGATTTTAAGGGGGCTCACCCATTTTGCTCTGGGGAGCTAGGGGGTCAGCAATTTTGTACACAGGTGCCTGGGGGGTCAGCAATTTTGTACTTAAAATTATGTTTAAAATTATGCTTAGAAATTATGGGAAGGGGGTGTGTGTGTGTAATTGATTTTGTACATGACATGGTGGGGGGGCCCTTATTTTGTACATACATTTTAAGTGTGTGTGTGTGTGTGTGTGTGTGTGCGGTAGGTCACATTGTACATGCTTCTCCATAAAATCTTCATCAACCCATAAATTATGAACGGTCCCTTAGCGTGAATCATTAAACGTTTCTTCTAACTAACTAAATATGATTTTGTTTTAACAGATGTTTAACAGATGCTTACTGTCAGAGCGTTATACTTTTTATTCAATATCAGTTGTTCTGTTATTCTCAACATCGAAATATTTTCACCCACTGTGTAAGTGAGTGAGGAATGAGTGTGGTAAGGCAAGCTGTCTAAGGCGCCGCGCTGGTAAGCGACAGATGCCTGGATCGATCCCCACTTGTGACTGGGTGTAAAAACCTTGGAGCTAACATTACTTGCAGGTTCTTTCAGTGTTGTCACTGGCCCAACCCATAGAATGCAGTACACAACCCTGTGCTCTTTAAAGAACTGACTCATCCGACGGTAGGTGACCAGATGGTGGACACACGAACACGTGCAGACACCTAGTTGCGGGTATAGTAAATTGCAGCATCACTGGACAACATACTGTGACTGAGTGTCCCAGTTAACCAGCTGAAAATGGGTACCTTGTGAGGATGAGGCTGTGCGATAACTCGCTGCGCTTAACAGGCTGCATGAGTTGAATACTCCCCAGGGAGTTGAGTTGGTTAAAAGAATGCCAGAAAAAAGACATAAGTTGATCAAGGAAACACTTCAGCCTTGAACATGTACTAGTTGCGTGGATATGTGCGCTATATAAATATCCTATGATAATAATAATGCGCTGTTCCAGCAATATCAAAACCGTAGACAGAAGTACTGGACTTCACACATTGTACCCATCCGGGGAATCGAATTCCGATCTTCGGCGTGACCAGCGAACACTTTAACCTGTCGGCTTCCCCAACGCTAGAGCGACTGTACGTTTCGCGGAATACATGAGGTCGATTCCTTGATATGGGTACAAAGTGTAATACCATTTTGGAGCCTCGATGGAATAATGCTTAAGTCGCACTCTCTGCTACATTAGAGGTTATGAGTATAGTATAATTTCGAAAACAACGTGTGAAGCCACAGAGCGCAACTTACATCGTATAAATGTAATGTAGGAGACACTTGGTTGCTGAATCAGCCCCGCCACTGCTTCATCAAACCAAAGATCACTCTGGTAACACAGCTTCCGGTTACGGTCATAGAACACTGATGCGCATGTCCGGTTATAGAAGCAGGTGTTCACACAGTGAGCAGCAGAAAACGAGGTTTCAGGGTCAAGGTCAGTAGGCAGAAGGTTGTGGAACAAGGCTGCGACTGACAGAGTAGTTGCCATGGCTACCTTTGCAATCCCTTAACACCGAATCTGAAATGAAAACGAGAAATGTCCAATCTGACGACAATATTTCACTCGTTAACAAGGCCATATGTGGGCTTAAAGTGGTGGACATTCGTCTACAGGCTAACAGAGTAATCTCTGTGGAGTTGTGACATAGTTAACTGTACGATAACGGGGTGGACTTCCTCGTTAACAGGCTATTGGGTAGGTATACACCACGTCCCCCATGAAGGAATATTTGCATCTGTTTTAGTAAGATAATGATGATACTGAAATGGTTAAAATTGTACGGTTATAGTTTTAACCCAAAAAATGATCACAGGTTCAGGTGATTGAAGTCACGTTAGTAATGTGTTACATCACAGGTTCAGATAATGGAGGTCAAGTTAGTAATGTGTTACATCACAGGTTCAGATAATGGACGTCAAGCTAGTAATGTGTTACATCACAGGTTCAGGTAATGGAGGTCAAGTTAGTAATGTGTTACATCACAGGTTCAGATAATGGAGGCCAAGTTAGTAATGTTTATAGAACATGTTCAGATAATAGAGGTCAAGTTCGTAATGTGTTACATCACAGGTACAGGTAATGGAGATCAAGTTAGTAATGTGTTACATCACAGTTTCAGATAATGGAGTTCAAGTTAGTAATGTGTTACATCACAGGTTCAGATAATGGAGGTCAAGTTAGTAATGTTTTACATCACAGTTTCAGATAATGGAGGTCAAGTTAGTAATGTGTTACATTGCAGGTACAGATAATGGAGGTCAAGTTAGTAATGTGTTACATCACAGTTTCAGATAATGGAGGTCAAGTTAGTAATGTTCAGATAATAGAGGTCAAGTTAGTAATGTGTTACATCACAGGTTCAGATAATGGAGGCCAAGTTAGTAATGTTTATAGAACATGTTCAGATAATAGAGGTCAAGTTCGTAATGTGTTACATCACAGGTACAGGTAATGGAGGTCAAGTTAGTAATGTGTTACATCACAGGTTCAGATAATGGAGGTCAAGTTAGTAATGTGTTACATCACAGATTCAGATAATGGAGGTCAAATTAGTAATGTGTTACATCACAGGTACAGGTGGTGGAGGTCAAGTTAGTAATGTGTTACATCACAGGTACAGGGAGTGGAGGTCAAGTTAGTAATGTGTTACATCATAGGTACAGGTAATGGAGGTCAAATTAGTAATGTGTTACATCACAGGTTCAGATAATGAAGGTCAAGTTAGTAATGTTTTATATCACATGTTCAGATAACAGAGGTCAAGTTAGTAATGTGTTACATCCCAGGTTCAGATAATGGAGGTCAAGTTAGTAATGTTTTATATCACATGTTGAGATAATAGAGGTCAAGTTAGTAATGTGTTACATCATAAGTACAGGTAATGAAGGTCAAGGTAGTAATGTGTTATATCACAGATTCAAGTAATGGAGGTCAAGTTAGTAATGAGTTATATCACAGGTTCAGATAATAGAGGTCAAGTTAGTAGTGTGTTACATTGCAGGTTCAGGTAATGGAGGTCAAGTTAGTAATGTGTTACATCACAGGTTCAGATAATAGAGGTCAAGTTAGTAATGTGTTTCTTCATAGGTTCAGGTAATAGAGGTCAAGTTACTAATGTTTTATATCACATGTTCAGATAATAGAGGTCAAGTTAGTAATGTCTTACGTCACAGGTTCAGATAATAGAGGCCAAGTTTAGTAATGTTTATATCACATGTTCAGATAATAGAAGTAAGGTTAGTAATGTGTTACATCATAGGTACAGGTACTGAAGGTCAAGTTAGTAATGTGTTACATCACAGTTTCAGATAATGGAGGAGTGTTACATCAAGTAATGGAGTCAAGGTAGTTATGTGTTATATCACAGGTTCAGATTGGAGGTCATCATCACAGGTACAGGTAATGGAGGTCAAGTTAGTTATGTGTTATATCACAGGTTCAGATAATAATCAAGTTAGAGGTCAAGTTAGTAGTTAGTAGTGTCACATCACAAGTACAGGTAATGGAGGACAAGTTAGTAGTGTGTTTCTTAGTAGTGAGTGAGTGGCCTTGATATGAGTGAATTTTACGCCGCTTTTAGCAATATTTCAGCAATAATACGGGGGACACCAGAAATGGGCTTCACACATTGTACTCATGTGATGAGCGAACGCTTTATCCACTAGGCTATCCCACCGCCCCTAATATGTTACTATGTATACAGACTTCAACGTTTGACCTAGACGGTGCTTTGTATGTGGTACACGTTGTATGTATAAGGAGTGGATGTTGTTTTACTCAATATTAAACAACATTCCCTGTCATGACCATAATCTGTCTGGGCCAAGCAATCCAGTGGTTGATAAAATGAGCAAAAATCCGCTTTCAGAATGTTTCCGAGACAAACAATGATACTGGGTACCAACAAGTGATGTACAATATATAATAATGATTAATGTTTAAAAATTCCCATTTAAGAAGTAAAACATCCACCTAAATGAACCATTACAAATTTGTAGTAAATTATTATTATTATTAACAGTGATTCATAAACGTTAAAATACAGAAATATAACCCAATTATTTTTTACAAATGCCTTTTGCAAATACAAAAATACAAAATAGATCTAGTTTTCTGAGAAACATATACATTTAAACATACAACATTAAATATGATGAACTGATCGTGCACTACCAAACACACTTACCCTTCCTATCCCGTGGTTTCTTTCTTTGTGTTTGTCCCAGAACTAGCCTGAAGGAAACACCGTACCGGCAGCTGAACTGGACACTCCTTTCAAACGTTCCCTCGGGAACCTCTTTAAGTTGATTGCAAATGAGAGATTACTTACACCTACTCTCATCATTTCAACGTGTTTACCTTAGCCTTTGCATTTGATGGTAGCACAATGAGCTGGAAGAAGATTTAGCTGCAAACGTAATTCATCGCATAAAACACAATGCCCAACGCCTGCAATATTTCAATATATCAACACATTCTTTGTTCTGAATTTATTTCAAAAACAAGATGAAGACGTCAAGGCGTTAGATGTTTTCATAGATCCTTCCCAAACGATGGTACGCTTAAAAAATCGAAAAGAATATTGGCAGCGTGAATATACTCAAGGGTTCATTCTTGTTCATTCTTATGTCGTTGTTGATGATGTGTTTACATTCTTGTTTCAAGCAAACGTTGAAGACGTTGGCTGTGTGTTTATATCTCTCCTGTGAGCTGTCCCGTGCCAAGTTGATGGTTTCTAATGCTGTTATAAGTGCAGGCCTCACAGTGAATAGTGTCCTTTTGTCTAGTGCATTGTCAGTGTCGCCCAGGTGCATCAACTGAGAAACAAAAGGATCAAGAAAACTCTATTCTGAATTATATGTGTTAGAACTGGTCTGCAGTTTCAAACAAATCTCCCATGGAGACATTGTTTATCAAGATTCCTTGTCATGGGGCACTGTTTGTATTGCGGTGTTGTATTATAGTATTACTGCGTTAGTTTAACGAGTGCATTTACTCAGTGGTAAACAGAAAAGTAGTTAATCTTTTGTCAGTTACACATCTACTATCACCAGAAAGGTTACTCACTATAAGAGGAATGTGTTCGTCATTTTTTTATTTACACCTAATAATAATTACACCAATGGTAGATGAGTTATGGTTATGTCACGTTGAACAGTATAGCAGACTCAACGTGACAGTAACGTGAGTCGCAGACATTAACAGCTTGTATAGATCACAAAATATGTGACTGGCTTATGAAATCGTTAACCAGTTCACGCGTATTTTCTGATTCCCTGTCAGAATAGGTTTAATGAATTAAAAGGTGGTCGCAAGAGGCGACGGGCGTCAGGCTCAGAAACATCGTTTAATAAATGGTGTACCTTAATAACGTGAAATGTTGTTCATAATATCGATCACTGGATTGTTCCAGACCAGTTTTTTAACCCCCGCAACGCGTTTTGCGGGGGGTATTAAAATCGACTCCGTCCGTCCGACCGTCCGTGCACATTTGTCTTTTCCGGAGCAGAACTCTAAAACCGTTCAATATTTCTTCTCCAAACTTGGTACATGGATAGATCTGGTGGTGTACTGGTGCCTTTTGGTAGTTTGGGAATTCTGAATAAAATATTTTTGGCGTTTCCATGGCAACAAGTTCGACTTAGACTGAAATTGGTGGTAGTGCTCTTTTCCGGAGCATAACTCTAAAACCGTTCAATATTTCTTCACCAAACTTGGCACATACATAGATCTGGTGGTGTACTGGTGCCTTTTGGTAGTTTTGGAATTCTGAATTAAATATTTTTGACGTTTCCATGGCAACAAGTTCGACTTTGAAATTAGTGGTAGTGCTCTTTTCCGGAGCAGAACTCTAAAACCGTTCAATATTTCTTCTCCAAACTTGGTACATGGATAGATCTGGTGGTGTACTGGTGCCTTTGGTAGTTTTGGAATTCTGAATAAAATATTTTTGGCGTTTCCATGGCAACAAGTTCGACTTAGACTGAAATTGGTGGTAGTGCTCTTTTCCGGAGCATAACTCTAAAACCGTTCAATATTTCTTCACCAAACTTGGCACATAGATAGATCTGGTGGTGAATAAAATATTTTTACATGGCAACAAGTTTGCCTTAGACTGGTAGTTTGGGAATTCTGAACTTGGCACAAATACTGGTGCCTTTTGGTAGTTTTTTGGCGTTTCCATGGCAACAAGTTTGACTGAAATTGGTGATAGTGCTGCGTTCTGGAGCAGAACCTTTAAAACCTTTCAATACTCTCCTTCCACTTTTCTATATACACACCTAAATATTTGACATAATCATAACTCGTAGACATTATCATGAAAACTATTTTGCCATTGCTGGGGATATTGATGACTTTGTCTTCTTGTTCTTTTTTAAATAAGACATAACATGGTAAAATATGTCATTTAATCTGTTACTTTCGAAATTGAATTTGTTTCAGCATCATGACGATGAAACGATTCCGTTAAGTTTGGTTTGCTCGTTTAGTGTTTAACGCCGCACTCAGTTATATTTAGTAATATTAGTAATTTCCGGGTGTTATTGAGTATTTGAAGCACGGGAATATTTCATTTGAAACCTCAAATCGGACCCGAATGAATTCCCGTGCTTCAAATACTCAATAACACCCGGAAATCGTCCAACACATGATGTTTATCTCCTATTTATATTCATGTGTTTGACAGCATAATTGTGGGACAAAAGCCGGATTTTTTTCTTCTGAATCGGTACTTTCTGACTGGTCAGTTACATGGTTTGATTTGACTGATTGATTGGTTACGTCATGGCAAAAAAACCATTCACAGTCTATGTTAGAGTAAAAGCAGTTACGTTGGTTGGTTTGTTGTTTAACACCACACTCAGCAATATTCCACCTGCTAGTATATGGCGGCGGTCTGTAATACTCGAATCTGGACCAGACAATACAGTGATCAACAGCATGAACATCAATCTTCGCAGATAAGATGACATGTATCAACCAAGTCAGCTAGTCTGTCAATCCGACCCCGTTAGTCGCCTCTCACGACAAGCATTGGTTGTTGAAGACCAGTTCTGTGCCGGATCTTCGCAGGTGTAAATCAAAGAGCTCGGGTTATTTCTAATGCGCCAATGTTTTGAACTTATCTGCTCCGTGTATAGGTATTAATAGGTTTAAAATGAAGGACTCTATACCTAGAACACATTCTTCAACAAAGCTTCGTGTCGTGATGCCCATTTCCAGAAATGGTGACGAATTAACTGATTGGTTTACATTATGCCATTTTCGATTGTAAAACCAGAACTCCAGATCGCATTGATTTGATTCAATTCATGGTACATGTAGCGTTGGGAACAAGAAAGAAAAATCAAACGAATGTCATACATCAGTGACCAAATATCTTCCAACTCCGGACCAGCTTCTTCACTATTCACTAGATAACCCCATCGCCATACAGACTCTCTTGGTGTGTATGATGTACACTGGGAATAGTGGAAGAAGCACCCTCTGCTACATTGAATCAAGCTCACACCGCTGTCATCTCACATTGCATCAGGGCCAGCGACTGTGTGAAGATGGTATGTTTTACCCTGCATGTCCAAGCCAGGCCTGTAGTTGAACCTCGAGCCTATTGCTCATACGTAATATATGTTGTACTTCCCCTGTCCTTAAGTGTATATTCTTCAAAAAAAGTAACGGCTATCAATTGATGAGAATGTAGATTTTGTTTATTTCATGAAACATTCAATGCAAATGCAATGGTGTTTTTGTCTGGACAATGTTCGTAAACTGGTATAGTACACAAACTCAACCATTTTAAACTTGTGTAGCTCTAGACAGCATTTCATAAGACCTTATGGAAATGAAATTAAAAGCAGAATGAACGTAGAAGAATAGGGATGCACGTTCCTAAAATGTAAAGACGAAGGCCCGGTGTGTTAATTACAATGCAAACACAATGAAACAATACTGCTGGAACATATACTGAGTCAAAAAAGAAACTTCACATTCTTTCTTCAGGGCACTATAAAAGAACAAGAGATGGTAAGATGGTTGAATTGTTATTATTTCATTGCTGAGATCTGTGTGATGTAGGCTACACCGCCGTTCCAAAACATGGGTATACAGAATGTCAAGCCACAAGAATAAAAATGCGAAATTTCTCAGTTCAATATCGTGTATGGCCGCCCCGCGCATTCACCACTGCTAAACACCGTCTCCTCATCGACTGCCTGATGCTTGTGAACACGTGGTTGGGGATTCTGCGCCATTGCTCTTGCAAGGCAGCGCCAAGCTCCTGCAAATTCTGAGGTTGGTTCCTAAGACCACGAAGCCTTCTCCCAAGTGCATCCCAAACGTGCTCTATTGGATTAAGGTCAGGGGACCTCGATGGCCAGTCCATGACGTTGATTCCAGCGTTTTGAAGGAAATTTCGTGTTAACATCGCGGTATGCGGCCGAGCATTACCATGCTGGAACTGTAGACCTGGGCATGAGCCGCAATGAAAGGAACGAGTTCAGGGGTGAGCACCTGGTCGCGGTAAGCAGCAGCTGTGAGGTTTCCTAGGATGACCAGAAGTCGGGAACGGTTGTTCCCACAGAAAGCACCCCACACCATTCAACTTCCGCCCCCGAATCTGTCGACTTCCTGTACACAACACTGGGCATACCGTTCACGACGTCGTCTCCAGACTCTATGCCTGCCGTCCGCGAATCTGAGGGTAAACCTGGATTCATCGCTAAAGACGACTCGATTCCAGTCTCTCTGGGTCAATCGGAGGTGACGTTGGGCCCACAGCAGACGTTGACGTTGATGAAACGGCGTCAATATTGGCCCACGATATGGACGTCGAGAATGGAGACTGGCATCCCGCAACCGATTTCGAATGGTCTGTGAGGACAGTCGACCTCTAAACATCTCAGCCCTGGTTCGTGTAGCCGGCAGAAATCTGTCACGTAGGTGACGTAGGACGATTGACGGTCTTCTGCTCGTGACGTCACACGTGGACGACCCGACCTTGGGCGATCTGAAGTGGTGCCAGTTTGTTGTAGACGACCTCGCAAGTCATACACAGTACAACGGCTGCATCCCATTGCTCTTGTGACGTCAATAACTGATCTTCCCGCTTGCAACATGCCAACGGCACGTTCACGCTGCACATTTGACAATCGTGGCATTTCAAGTACCGTTAGAACTGTGGTTTAAAAGTGTTTCTTTCAATTCTTGAGGCCAATGCAAACACGTGCATATGAAGAAAGCTTCGATGCCAAGATCACGTGATCGACTGCACGTGCAAAACCTGATTTGGCACTAACATCATTTGCACGACGAATGGATGGGTTTGAGTGGGTTTTGCTAACGTTTTTCTAGAGTCGAAAGATAGGGATCCCATTTCGGATAATAGCTGTATCATCAGAGAAAAATTATTCATTATTTTTCAAATTACATTTTGTGAAGTTTCTTTTTTGACTTAGTATATTTCATAGGGCATGCAAAGTTGCTAAAAAACGTGACAAGATACCAGACAAGACATTACTATTCTATTAGTGACTGTTAGGGGTGACTGTTGAAGGGGAAACCACTATTGCAATAGTGATAGTCTATTGCAACATACTATTGCGACCAACTATTACAATACTATTGCAATAGGTTTTTTCTCCTTGAATTGTCTCATTTGAAGGCATTTCCCAAAAGAACGCGTAGTTTATATGAAATAGAAACAACTTGAAGTAGTTTCAGTCTCTTTTAATAACTGACAAAAAACTGGAAACCCAGATCAAGTTTGTTTAAGAGGTAACAGGGGCGGTTAACTCTAAATCAAAGTGAACGAATCTGGCACTTCCTGTATTTTGTGCTGCACATTTATCAACGGAAGACAATTACTAAACTATCGCTAGTCACACATACTATCGGTAGTTTTTCGTTTCTACCATCGATTAATTGCTATCGGAGACACAACAAAGTTCGATAACTCAGTGTCTAGTTACAACACACATTGTACACAATGAACATGGATCATGGTTTTATATGAAAGTAAATATTCTCAATGCGACAATCAATTGCCGCTGTGTGGAAACTGTGATACTGATCGCTCAGTGGCACACACCTGTCATAATATAGTATATATACAATATTACAATATATACAGAGAATGGTAGGTAATATTTAAATTATTCGTAGCCTGTGTTTTGACGTCCTTTATACTCATCATACCAGGTTACATCAGTGGCACATTTAGGAGTTGTGAAACAGGATAGGCAAAAAGAAATGCAACATGCAATAGATGATAATGAAATATCAACACCCATGGATATCAAATGGTACACAAGTTCTGCTTGTTGAGGACCCGCTCACACACAGATGGACGCTCAACACTGCACCCAAATTTACGCCATTGCAGGAATGAGCCGTGCATCAAGACACACGATCCAGAATGTAGAGGATACCAGTTTGTGAAACCTACAGCTGCACCGCTCTGCCACTGCCACACCCCTTCCACCTCCTTTAAACCAATCCACATTCCAGTTCCTGTGGAAATATAAATATGAAATACATTGTGTCGTGATGGGGGAGAGTAGGAGAGGGTTGTAGGCTTGTTGGAGTGAGTAGGGGTGGGTTGTGGGAGTGAGTAGGGGTGGGTTGTGGGAGTGAGCAGGGGTGGGTTGTGGGAGTGAGCAGGGGTAGGCTTTGGGCATGTGGGAGTGAGTGAGGGTGGGTTGTGGGCTTGTGGTAGTGAGTAGGGGTGGGTTTTGGACTTGTGGGAGTGAGTGTGTGAGTGAGTTTAGTTTTACGCCACAATATTCCAGACAATCCAGTGATTAACAGCATGAACATCAATCTACGCAATTTAAATACGATGCATATGTCAACCCAGTCAGAGAGCCTGATCACCCGATCCCGTGACTTGTTGGAGTGACAAAGGGTTGGTTGTTGGAGTTGTAGGAGTGAGTAAAGGTTGGTTATGGATTTGTAGGAGGGGTAAAGGTGGATATTGGACTTGTAGGAGTGAGTAAAGGTGGGTTATGGACTTGTAGGAGTGAGTAAAGGTGGGTTATGGATTTGTAGGAGTGAGTAAAGGTGGGTTATGGATTTGTAGGAGTGAGTAAAGGTTGGTTATGGATTTGTAGGAGTGAGTAAAGGTGGATATTGGACTTGTAGGAGTGAGTAAAGGTGGGTTATGGACTTGTAGGAGTGAGTAAAGGTGGGTTATGGATTTGTAGGAGTGAGTAAAGGTGGATATTGGACTTGTAGGAGTGAGTAAAGGTGGGTTATGGATTTGTAGGAGTGAGTAAAGGTGGGTTATGGACTTGTAGGAATGAGTAAAGGTGGATATTGGACTTGTAGGAGTGAGTAAAGGTGGATATTGGACTTGTAGGAGTGAGTAAAGGTGGATATGGACTTGTAGGAGTGAGTAAAGGTGGGTTATGGATTTGTAGGAGTGAGTAAAGGTGGGTATTGGACTTGTAGGAGTGAGTAAAGGTGGGTATTGGACTTGTAGGAGTGAGTAAAGGTGGATATTGGACTTGTAGGAGTGAGTAAAGGTGGATATTGGACTTGTAGGAGTGAGTAAAGGTGGGTAATGGGTTTGTAGGAGTGAGTAAAGGTGGGTATTGGACTTGTAGGAGTGAGTAAAGGTGGATTATGGATTTGTAGGAGTGAGTAAAGGTGGATATTGGACTTGTAGGAGTGAGTAAAGGTGGATATCTGACTTGTAGGAGTAAGTAAAGTAGGATTATGGATTTGTGGAGTGAGTTGGGGCAAGGAGCGTTCTTTTATGAGTAGGTGTTGATTGTGAGAGTGAGTATGGGTGGATTGTGTCCTTGTTGTGATGGAGCTCAATTAAGATTTGTTGCAATAGTCAGCATAATTCTCACTTTATGGCGGCAGCTTGGACCGGGTAATTCAGTACGTTATAGACAACATCTAACGTCATGGGAGAGCGATGACAGCCCTCAAGTCAGAGAGCCTGACAGTTCAATATGTTTGTTTGCCTTCTGAGACATGCATAGATTAAAGGATGCACAATTGTGGTAGTATTAATGAAAGAGGCCATGTAAGAGAGAATCTTCTGACTGAGGACTTGAAAGCAAATGGTGATCGTTAAGAGACAATGTGGCCAAGAAGCTTGCCATGGATACCCTTGCTGATCTGTTTTGTTTGTGTGTATTTATGACCAAGAGAGAGAACATTTAAGAGGCATTGGCCAAGACGTTTAACTTTGGTCTCAGGTGTACTAATGATGTGAATGATCAATAATGATCTGTCATCACCCTCCCTTGATATAGATGATCATAGTGAGTGAGTGTGTTTAGCTTTACGCCGCTAGAGCAATATTCATGCAATATCACGGCGGGGGACATGGAAATGGACTTCACATATAGTACCTATGTGGGGAATCGAACCCGGTCTTTGCCTTGACGAGCGAACGCTTTAACCACTAGGCTATCCCACCGCCCCATATGGCAATAGGGTTCATACAAGACCAGTAAAGCACCTCATCTGTTTCATATTTACATTTATTTTCTTGAGATAACCCACTCCCATAAGTCTTGGAGTCGAACAACATATCGGATAGGCATAACCGAGCATTCTCTTTCTATGGAGATTTCTTAGAGCGCCACACGACTCTTGCTCCTGTTGTTTTATAAAGTTCTGATACTCTATGCGATACCCAAGCTTTCAGAAGTTGTTATCGTAGAACTGTGGACATTTAAGAACACTGACTGACTGAGTTAGTTTTACGCCGCTTTCACCAATATTCCAGCAATATCACGGCGGGGGACACCAGAAATGGGCTTCACACCTTGTGCCCATGTGGGGAATCGAACCCGGGTCTTCGGCGTGACGAGCCAACGCTTTAACCACTAGGCTACCCCACCGCCCCCATTTAAGAACATGACTGACCAAAAATGATGAATGGGATACACTCGACTTTGACGATATCTTTAATTACAGGGTGCAAAATAGACTCCCCGTGTATGTAATAACTGCAGGATACTCTTACGAATAGAATAGACAAAGCCCTTTCCACATTCATAAGAAATCTCTGATAAAAGCAGAGTCGTTTGTACAATTGTGACTATATCATGAGCATATCTTTGTAACACAAATTCCTGAAAAGGCAATAAACTATTATCATGCATTATGTTATACATTTGGTTCAGCAGTATAACAGCTGTACGATGGTGTTTGTAAACAAATCCAGTCTGGACCAAACAATCCAGTGACTGTCACCATGCGATACGATGACAGCATGTGTTTATGATTCACTATGAAATAGTGATGATACCAGGTGTTCGCGAAAAGGTGAGCGTATCCTGCCCCACCGATGGCACCCGTCATAAACACATGCTAAGTCTAGTCAATTGTTCATCTGAAATAATTCGGGAACGTATGGTACAAGTCAAAATAGGGAATTGCATCGGACATCATTTTTGTCACTGATGCATCAAATTTGGAAATATCCTCCACATGTCATGTGTAACCTTGCCACATGTCATGTGTAACCTTGATCAAACAACTTCTGAGCACGAGTGGTATGACGCTCTTGGAAAAAAAAGAGTTGTGAAATGTAAACTCCAAAGGCTGGAGCTGTTGGAATATTGATCGACATGTAAGGGAAGTTGACTATTGTAAAGTTGAAATCATCCCTTTTGTCATACAGCCTTGTGGGGAATACATGTATCATCACTAATTGATGGCAAGTCATATACATGTATACCTGACATCTTTAAATTTAAAACATCAGTGACAAAAAGGGATGACTGATACAAGTCCTATTTCGATTAGGGTAGATCTCTGATCATGCTGTTGATCATTTGATAGTCTGGTCTAGGCTCGATTATTTACAGACCACCGCCATATACCTGGAATATTGCGATTACGGCGTTAAACAACAAACAAATCAACCAACTAAATATTTCAACTTGTACGATATCTATATTTCTGACTTCCAGTTCGTGTGTTAAGAGCAGGATAGGTTCACCTTTTTAACAAATACCTGTATCATCACTGAACAGATCATGGTGACGTGGACGAGAGCTGAAGGTCAGGATTAAAACGAATGTTCTTGTTATTGTAAGAAAGTGTTCTTTGAATGCATGCTGGAGCTGTGTACGTGCGTGGTATGTAGCACTGGGCTTGCTGTGGCCGTGTGGAGAAAGGGTTGGACATTCGTGAGGCAGTAGAGATGAAGGTTGCGTTTGTATTTCAGATAAAGCCGTATATTCTAATAACATGCTACACGGATTGGGGTAAGGCGACAAAAGAGTATAATAGTATTTTACCAGCACGGATGACAAGCGTTATGACGAGTTGATCCTCCATGGCGCTATAGATGTTGAAGAGCCGTCCTCCTTCGGCCTCGCATTCACTGGTAGCGACATTATAGGATCGTAGTTTTGTGTTCAACCTGAAACACTTGGACGATGGTTTATGATATATCCATTGGCTCGGACAGTCGCCTGAAACAAGAAGAAGTAATAAGTGATATAACCCATACACTTCAATATTGATTTCACCTAACAGCATCAGTCTCTCGAGCGTTTACACACGTTATAACACCCAATAACATGTATTCATGGTAGGAACTTACGTTATGGCTGTTGCTATCACATCGAGTTCAAACTCTTTTGTGTCTTTCTTGCCTTTTTACAAATGTCATTACAGGTGCTAATATTTATGTGTGTTTGAGTAGTCAGCATTTAGTTCAGCCATAACCGCACTATTTATTTTTAATCTCCTGAGTTTGGCGGTTGCTGCTAAATGTCATTCTGACATTGGGCTGAAATCTGTCCGTTGATGTTTGGCAACGTAACATCAACTTTCACGTTACTCATGGATGTAGATGAATTGTTACCCCCTTACTCCAGATAGGTTTACTAACATACGTACTCCTGTTGAAAGCAATATGAGATACCCCTTGTCTCGCAACAAGGTTTTCCACTGTTTCGTCGAACCAAAGATCACTTTGGTAGCACAGCTCAAAGATGCTATCATAGAACACGGATGCGCATGTCCGATTGTAGAAGCAGACGTCAACACAGTGAGAACGTGACAATGATGCTTCAGGGTCAAGGTCAGTAGGCAAAAAGTTCTGGAACAAAACTGTGACTGACAGTGTAGTTTCCATGGCAACCTGTGAGATGTAAGAATGTGACGTTACGTGAGTGAGTTTTACAAAGTTTCGTCAATGTGAGTGAGCTGAATTTTACACCGCACTCAGCAATATTCCAGCTATATGGCGGCGGTCTGTAAATAATCGGGTCTAGATTAGACATTCAAGTGATCAACAGCATGAGCATCGATCTGCGCAATTGGGAACCGATGACATGTGTCAACGAAGCCAGCGAGCCTGACCACCCGATCCCGTTAGTCGCCTCTTACGACAAGCAAGGGTTACTGAAGGCTTATTCTAAGTACAGAAAATAACAACTTTAAGTCCCCAAGTGTCACCACCATCTATGACCTAAGTTGATCATAAAATGAAGCCAATTTTAAGACGCATATGGATTTTTCAAACTGTCTCTATCAGTTTCTCTACACTGAAATTTCCCTTGAATGTATTTTGGGCCTATGGCCTTTTACTGCAAATAAACTCTGTCCGTCTAAAAAGCCAAGAATTAAACGATCATGGACATTACTAAGATGACTCTCTAAGACGTTGAATAATGCTCAAGACGATACAGATCAACATGAGCTCGATACAAAACAATATCAATACGCTAAACAAGAAATTCGATGATTTTAAGAGCGACTTCAGTGGTAGATTGGATGGTCTGAAAAGTGAAAACGTGAGTTTGAATGAACGAGTCGAAAGTAGGTACATTTGAAGCACATTCACGACGCAATAATGTGATCTTCTTCGGATTGGCAGAGAGCAGAGGTGGGACCTGGGAACAGACAGAAACCAAAGAGAGAATCTGTAAGGACAGAGACATTATTGATGATCTATCGAGAGGGCTCATAGACTGAACTCAAAAGGCACTAACCAACCAATAATTGTTAAATTTGCATCCTACAAAGATAAGCAGAGGGTAACTAAGTCGGCCCGGCTTAAACTTAAAGGCGACAAACAACATCGGGTATTGGAAGACCTTACAGAGAGGGCACGATGGATAAGATCACAACTGTTCCCTGTGATGGACAAAGCGCAAAGCGAAGGCAAAATTTTCGTTTATGGTTTATGATAAGCTTATCATTGAAGGCAGTGACTATGCGTATGACGAAGCTAGCGATGATGTCAGACAGGTCGGACAGAGGAAGAACTGGGAGCGACGACAACCATCGAGACCCACGTCATCGACACAACCCCCTTGTCTCCCTGCTAGGATATCGGCCGTGACCTCAATGACTCAAATCACACTCAACATTGTAACAATGAGAACTATAGAACTGACTACTAACTCGTTTGTCTTGTCTTTTCTTTGTTAGAACATTCCCGGTTTACATTCAAAATTGGAAAATTACGATATTCATAGACTGTGTAAAACCTTTGATGTATTCTGCTTTTTGGAAGCAATGTGTCCACCGGCAACTGACGCATATGACAAACTGCAGAATGTATTTAACCATTATAAATGTTTCATTGTAAATGCTAACCGAGAAAGTGAACGAGGTAGATTTTCAGGAGGAATCAGTGTTTTCATTAATCACTAAATAGTTTCCTACTTTCAGAGACTCTATGATCAATGGGCAAATGTTATTGTTTTCAAACTGAACGCAAAAGTGTGTCCTACCACCATATTTGTTTTATTTGTATACATTCATCACGAATATTCGAAGGAGTATGCAAATGCAGATGAGGATGGAATTTCAGCTCTTGAAAAGAAGCTCTTGCATATCTTATCAGACTATGGAGATGATATTAGTTTTATCCTCATGGGAAATTTCAACGCCCGAACTGCAGATGAAACAGATTGCATAATAAATGACGACACGCACTATTTGTCGCTTAACAATGATTATAGAGAAGAGTCATTTGATATACCAAGAGACTCGTGGGATACACAAATCAACAACTATGGTAGAAGTATTCTTGTGTAAAGTGCTCACATAGTAATTGTGAGGCCATCAGGAGATGTACTTGGTAACTTTACATTGATATCGAGGGCAGGAGCCAGTGTGGTGGACTACATCTAAGTATCAAGTACTATATTTCCTAAAATCAGTGACATGAGTGTGATTCCAAGACCAGAATCGGATCATTTGCCTATAGCATGTATACTGAACAATATTAAAACGCACCAAACTAAAATGCACCGACGATGCTCAGATATCATGGGTACATTTCAGAATGACGGGGATAGTTCGTATTATATGGTGGTGCGTGTCTAATGTTGTTCAGTATACTTTTCATGACGTCATACAGAATGAATTATAGAGGAGTATCAATTCTAAACTTTATGGGAAATCTATGTATTACAATTATAGAAAAAAGATTAAGGATGTGGGTTGAGTTAAATGAAATATTATCCGAAAGTCAAGCTGGTTTCCGCCCTCAATATTCAACTACTCATCATATCTTCACTCTTCAGGCTTTGTGTTCGAAATACTTGTGCAAACCCAAAGGTGGTTTCTTCTGCGGTTCATTGACTTTAAAACGGCATTTGACTTTGTGGACAGAGATTAACTGCTATATATTCTGATTCAATGCGGCTGCCATGGAAAGATAACTATGTTGCTTTAGAAATATGTATGCATCAGTGAAAGCCAGTGTAAACGTGAATACTGACTTAAGAACTCATACTTTTGATACTTCCTGTGAAGTGAACCAAGGGTGTATTCTCAGCCCCGTATTTTTCCTTTTCTACATTAATGAATTTGCAACGGAGCTCTTCCAATCAGGCAACAATGGATTTTTTGTTACTCAAGTGAGTGAGTGAGTTTAGTTAACAAGTATCAAGAAGTAACCTATTCAAGTGCAAGAACTATATTTGATCGGAAAGTGGCACCTATACTACTATACGGTTCGGAAATATCTGATGTAACCGAGAGGGTCCATACTATGTATTTCAAACGGTTTCTGAAAATTGGAAAATGTGCTTCAAATAAAGCCACTCTTAAATGGCTTGGACGTCATCCCATGTATGTATTAACACAGATTCGAGTAATCAAGTTTTGGTTCAACGTTATCCATTACAGTGCTACAGAATGCTAAAAACATTTGATGAACAAGCTGGGCATCCAATGTTAGAATCTTACTACTTGTATTCAGAAAAAGTTTTTCTCACGTCTGGTTGAACCAGGGCGCTGCTAACGTTCAGCTATTCATGTATACTTTCGAACAACGTGACACAACGAAATCAACAGCTCCACTTTTCTCAGCCTTTATTCACAGCCCTACATAACAGACCTAAAATATAAACATCTGATCCGGGCACAAATTTCGTATTTCGAAAAGCAACTTTTAAGTGAACATGTTCAATTTTAATGAGGATGACCCAAGTAATGCTACTTTTGTTCATTCTGTGATGCTGCAGAAACCATGTATTCTTCCGATGTGGCAAATATCAGCGGTACAGAGACAATTCCTACAAGCAACTACAAAATGTCTACAGAGGCCCACTAACTATGATGTCAACTTTGCAATCCGACCCCCTTCCCCAAAGTCATATCCTGCACAGCACTATTTTTACATTATGCTTTCAACGTAAGATCCTAATACAAATTATGGCCACTGTTTCACGAAACTGCCAAATTCTGTGACTGTATTATAGGCCATGAGGCCCATATTACGAAACAAACTTCTGTCTATCTGTCGAATAATAGTAGACATCTACACAGTCAAGTAAATCATGCCGGACTGTGGTTCTCTCACCACACGGGACACACTATGGTGGATCCACAGCCTTCAAAGAGTATGAGAATGGCCAGTACGACATCGTCGCATATGACTTCATCAAATCAGGAGTGACAGCCCAAGTAGATACAACCAGTTGTTGGTTTTAGTGCATGCAACTTCTTTACGCCAACCTTGGTGTCCTGTTTCTATCACATTAGATCACTGTTATAACATCTAATGACAGGTCCGATATCACTGTTTGAGTAGAAGTGGCCTGAAACATTTGTTCACTGCTGTTTTCGCTGTATCATCATCGTGCTACCCATAATGTCAACATGGCTGGGCAACCAATAATACAGCAATGTTGTATTAGCCAGTGGCAAGAGCAATTTCAGTTACAATATATCCAAGATTAAGGGATGATCCGAAGCCACGTTTGTAATTGCCCGAAAACGTGACAGTGCATCGGAAAATCTACATTGTTTATGAAGAGACTGTTGTTGAATGTACCCCCAAGCCTCTGAGTATTGCCTTGGACTTAGTTGTGAATATGGAGCTAGTGTCTGGTAGTCGGGAAGTGATAGGTTTTGATCCATTGACAATCACAGTAGACACATTGGCACCATCCTTTGAATCGTCGCAGAAAGTTGAGTCAAATTGGTTCGTCAGTTGTTTGTAAAGGGATCAGATTGTCAGGCTCTCTGACTTTGTTGACACAAGTCATCGTATCCCAAATGCTAATGGTGTTGATCAATCGATTATTACAGACCGCCGTCGGTTAGCTGGAATACTGCTGAGTGGGTGGAGTCTACTAATGCCTACAAGGAGTAACGGGTATAGTCTTAAATAAACAATTTTACGCACCAGTGGTTACAAATTGTACTTACCGCCTCCGTGGTTTGGTGGTTAGAGCGTCCGCCCGAAAAGCGGGAGGTCTCAGGTTCGATCCCCGACCGCGTCATACCAAAAGACGTTAAAATATGGTCTTGTTGGTCCCTGTCTGGCGCTAGGCATTAATGGGTTTAACAAGGACTGGTCGGCTTGGAGTCAGTATAATGTGTCTGAGTGGGGTATTCATGCTTCGCTGCGACATGGTATCTCAGTGGGCTAGCACTATAAAACCAGCTTAAAGGTCACATGCAACCAAAAAATCAAACATAATTAAAACACAATAATCACTTCTTCATGACATATAATATGCATTGCTGATTATGAAAAAACAAATAAACAAAATTATAAGCGTATAATCGCAAATCAAAAGTGCAATATTTTGTACTTGGGTTTACCTCCCTCGAAACGAAGCAGCCGGGATATCGAACCCAGTCAGAGCGGGTGGGTGTGCACTCAAG